CTGGAGGTCTGATGGAGGTCCAGCAGAAGCACAACGGTTCTGAGAGGTGATACATCACCTCCTATCCCAGACCGCATGGTGAGAACTGATGTGATGAATCTGTAAAAACCACAAACCAGTAAAAGACTCGGTTCCTCTCCACGAACACAGAGTCCATAAAGGGTTCTGCTGGGACCCCCAGAACCAGGACCCGGTCTGGAGACCCCCGTCTGGCCGGATGGTTCCCTTTTTGCTCCGGTGATCAAAAACCTGTGAACCTTGAACTCCTCATCATGAGTTTTTCTCCAAATCCAACCACTCCAGATGTTTCTACGGAAGCTTTTTGGGCCAAACAACCAAACAAACAGATGATGTTATGATTTAGAAAATGTATCATCCAGTCTGTCTCCTGAGCAAAAAGCAGACCGGACAAAGCTCAGAGGAGCAGATCCAGATCCAGAAGAGCTACCAGGCTCCCACCTATCCTACGTTTCCGCCCACTTTATGATCTCTTTTGTGAATTCACGCTGAAGTGTTGGGACCCGATGGACCGGACTCACAAACAGACTCACACTCTGTGGTTGTGTCTTCTCAAAAATCAGCCCGTTACAAACCCCCTTAAATTATTGTTCCTGGAACTGTGGGCCTCAGCTGTCCGGTAGCAGCTGTTTCCCTCCACCACTGTAGCAGCATGTGTTCTTTTAATAAATAATCTATGTTTTTACCCCTGTGGTCGGTCACTCAGCCCCCGGCTGGACACTTCAGGACCGATACAAACACATGCAGATATTGTTTTATTGTATGGATTTATCATTTGGTTACAGGAACTCAAGAAAGCCGAAGAGAAGATTGCAGCACCAGACTTTCCTATAATCATTTTTAGCTCGTTTCTTGTCCTTTTATTGGTCTTTCTAACTTAAAACTGACCAGTCTTTTTAATGCCTGAATGATTAGGCATTAAAAACACCACAAACTCAAGAGAATTTAGCAAAGAGGCAGTTTTGTTTTTATCTTTAAGAAGCCGATTTCTTTAGTAGATCCAAAGGAAACGGGATGGAAGCACCTGGGTGTTCTGATAAGAGGTGAGAGGAGTTTTCAGAATGTCGGAGGAGGTTTTAGGGCCGGAGAGCACCCCCCCCCCCCCCGGAAACGCTTCCTTTTGGGCGTCCCGCCGCACAAACGGCTGCCTTCTGATTTTATAATCTGCTTACGTTCCACTGCAGACGCGAGCGGAGGCTGCAGATTTATGGAAATAATCCCCCCTCTCTGCTCCGTGCTGCAGCGCGAGGATCACAGGCAGGAGACGCTCACCTAGAAAAGGTCAGTCAGTTTCCTCTAAGCCTTCTGTTCAGTTCCAGTTCCAGACTAAAGGGAGTTGATCTACAGAGTCAGAGCTTCCTCCTAGCTGGAGTTTTTAGTGCCTCATCAGTCCCCAAACATTCAGAATAAAAATGTTCCCCCACACTGAGGGAGAAAATCACAAACCAAGCATCATTCCTGCATAAAAAAACAGCCGATTCTTTTCTTTATTGACAGTATTTGTTACCAGAACTCGTTATTTGTTACTAACAAACACAAAACTAACGTTAGTAATGATAATAAAAAGGAGAATATGAGAGTACAGAAATGTTCCACTGCCGTGTTTTCAAAGGACATGATCTCCAAAGTATTAGAATATTAGCCATAAAAAAGCTTGCCAGCCCACATGCACTTAAAGGTCTAATTTAAGTGGATTAGCAACAGTTAAGTCTCTTTCCCAAAAAAGCTTGTTAAAATAGCTGAATTTTACTGGGTACTGAGCACAGATAATGCAGAATAAACGCAGACTTATTGCATTTTGTGTGGAATTTAGGGCTAATTTGCACCTTTAACCGGTGGAAGAAAGAAAAAAAAGGTCTATTAAAGGTAAACAATGAGCAGAACACACAGCAAATGTACAAATGTCTTAATCTTTCCTCTCCACTGTCCCTGTGGATATAATATAGTTATTACAGTGTGCTGCTGCCATCTAGTGGCTCAGATCAGTTACAACAACTTCGGTGGAAAAGAAGAAAAAGAAAAAACTTGAATTACGTTTGGTGACCTAACGAACATTTGGTCCCGACTTTATAGCTGATTAATTATCAAAAAACTGAGAGGTAGCAGCTCTGTGAGGCAGTTAGAAATCCACTGCTTCTGAGTTTCAACCTTTAAAATAAATTAAAAAAAACGGGGGGCAACAAACAGCAGAGACGTCTAAAAATAGAAATAATTTATTTACACTCTGTAAACTGTCAAAAACCAGGCAAACAAACAGTAAGAAAAATAAATCCAACCCTGTCAACTTAGTGACGATGAAGAAGATGAGTTAAAGTCTGTACAGATCAAAGCTCAGTGGCACCACCATCTACGGCCCAGACTTTGAAAAGCTTTAAAAGAATCAAACGAACCGGGCTCCATTCTGTAGAATCCTCTCCATCAAACTAAATCAAGTGTTAACCAGAAGAAAAAATCTTAAAAATGTTTTTTTTTAATTTTTTATAAAAGAAGATAAAGCTCTTTCCCGAAGGAAGAAGAAGAAGAAATAAGAGGTGATACTTTCACATCTGTGGCTAAAAGCTCCCTCCTGGAGCTCCAGGAGCAGGCATGCGGAAGTAAGCTTTTATTTATTATAAAAAAGCTCCTTTAAAGAGGGAGACTCCACGTTTTAGTGTCTCAAGTCTGGTCTTTAGGTTTTGTGCGTTAAAAATCCTCCTTCCTGGTCGTTACATCTGGATTTAGGGGTGAGTGGCGTTCCCTCAATTGGGTTTTTGGTGCTCAGAAAGGTTGCGTTCTGATAAAACCGTCTTCTGATTGGCTGAGGGGGGGGGGGGGGGGGGGGGGGGGGGTGGGGGGGTGTGGGGGGGTCAGGGGCGGAGCCGGAAGCGGACGAGCAGAGGCAGGTGGTCGGAGGAGTGGTGCTGGTTGGGCAGGCTGTTGACCTCCTCCAGCTCCAACTGGCTGACCAATGAGAGCCGGCCCAGCAGCTGCAGGCCCCGCCCACCAGGAAGTGAAGCCCCGGAATCTTTAGAAGGGAAAAGAGAAAGAGAGAGAAGCTGTGACCGGTGGTGGAAGGTCGGGGGAGTGTGTGTGAGTGTGTGTGTGTCTGTCCCTGTGTGTGTGTTTGTGTGTTTATGTCTGTCTGTCCCTGTATGTGTGTGTGTTTGTATGTGAGTGTGTGTGTGTGTGTGTGTTTGTATGTGAGTGTGTCTGTGTGTGTCCCTGTGTGTGTGTGTGTCTGTCCCCGTGTGTGTGTGTTTTTGTGTATGTTTGTGTGTGTGTGTGTGTGTGTGTG